AAAGGGAACATTATCAAGCAATGGTGATCAGTAGGTTGATTAAGCATTAAGAACTGAACACTTTGGAAATTTTGGTGTCATATCTTAAATATGGATCTACTCAAGGAAGTTAAGCCAAAAGACAAACATTAAATTATATACCACATTTAGGATGACTATGACATCTCAAGAAGTAGGTGGGTTAAGATTTTAAAAATATGTTGACATGAGATACATAATTTTATTTTAATACAATTTTATAAGAATTTTATCTGAATAAAAATTTTAAATTTGGGAAGTAAATTAAACGCAAAGATAAAACAAGTGCAAGTAAAAGAAATAGCAAGCATAATATTTCTATGTGATTTAGCCAACTAATCTAGGCTACATCCATATAAGCCAACTCTTGAGCTAGAAATAACATAAATTTAAATTTATCAATAAATCTCACATCTTTAAACTAAAGAAGATTCTCATAACCTAAGTACTCTCTTCAACGGGTGAATACAACTCAATCTCAATATAATATATTTTTTTTGCTAAGACAAATGGCTTAGATAAAAGGCAAAATAAATATTTAAAATTTTATGATTATACAATCACATATATTTTGTCAAAACAATCATAACAAAAATTTGAGATAATTTAAATGTATTAATAATCATCTCTCAACTTATAAATGGAATGTATATTTTGCTCACTATAGAATAAACTAGTATTTTGGCTTATATAAATACTATTTTTATTATTTTAAGTTGATAGAATTAAACTCAAAGATTTTAAGATATTTTTAATATTTATTGAATTTAGAAAGTAGACCAATATTAAAATAAGATAACATGCTTACTAACTTTACGGATGCATAAATTTATCTATACAAAACTTAATCTAAGATGCTTTGAAGGAATTCATCTACAAATAGATTTTTTCAAAAACTATAAAAATTGAAAAGTATAAGTGCATAAATAAAGATTTGAAAAGAAGAAAGCATAATTAAAGACTCCAAGAGAGTTTGTTTGGTTGATTGCTTAGAGGCTTCCAAACCAAGAAATATAATCTTGCAAATATGTAAAGCACTTCAAATAAATATAAGGAGACCTCTTTCCTTAATTTTTAATCTTAAAAAGAAAGTAAGAGGAGAGTATATGCTATAAGATTTTTGAATTCAATAGAAACCTTAACATAAAGAAAGTGGGACTAATTATAAGCAATGAATGCTTTTAAAACAATTTTAATACATAATAAAATTCTAACATTATTTTATCAAATAATAGTTTATTATTATGAAAAAAAATGATTTTTACTAAGTAATTATTAGATCATAATTGTTAGGGTATATCTTTACAAACAAGGGAATTCAAAAAAAAAAAAACATAAATAGGTCTAAGTTATCTATCTTGATCAATCTTGAGATCTTTTATGCTCAAATCCTTATCCAATTTTTTAATTGCATGTACATTAAATGAATGCACCTGAAAAATTAATTCATATGTTTGATCATTCACAGATATGTGTGTTATCATCAAAACTAACAAAATAGATAATATGGCTCAAATAGCCAACATATGTGAGCTATAGAAAATTTTCCCAATATAATTTTCTTATTATTCCTTTCAGGTAAATACAATTTTAATAAAAAATAATAATGCTAATATTTGGTTGTCAAATCTATTTTTTTTATACTTTTATTAAAATCAAATATTAAATATGAATTACATTATTATTGTCATGTCAATTTGTTTTATTAACATGGCCAATTAAATTCATGTAAAATTATTAACAAGATGAAAATTAAACATTTCAAATGTGAAAAAATAAGTAAAATGAATTGAACTATTTTTATTTATATTATAAGAAAGTACATATTCAAATTTTATAGGAGAGTGCAAAAAAAGTGCTCCACACCTCTAAAAGTAGACATTATTCCCTTAATCAAGCATGCCCAAAAGATATAAATGATTTATGCATCTACAACTTTAGAATGAAGTAATTTTGTGTCTAGATTAGACTTTATTTGCTATAATATGAACCATCTAATGATGATATTTCAGCATTAACATCCGAGGTTTAGTCACCACTTTTAACAAAAAAATAGAATAATTGCAACTAAAAAACCTTCTCATTTAAAAATCTTTTGGCTAAAACAAAAATAAATATATAAATAAATAAAAATCAATGGGCATTTACATAAAGTACACGTCCCACCAAGTTCCATTGTATCTGTATATCTAACATCTAAACATTGCTTTTAATGTTTCTATCACTCCAATATTTTATATCTTATAAAAAATATCACTTCTTCATTTCACGTTTTCATGCATTAAAAAAGTGATATATGTAAAATTTGAAATTTAAACTCTTCATATGCCAATAGATAGAGATTAAATAGTGGTATATGTACAGAAATATGTCTGCACGAATCTCGAAAAAATCCAATGATTCTCGCTTATGAATACCGTAGAGCAGTGTATCGGGATAACTAAAATGCGAAAACACTAAGCATCGGCTTCTTCGGTCAAAACTCTGAACAGATCGAAAGTTAGCATAGTCCAAGGAAGAAATAGAAGGAATCCAACCAACTGAACAGTCATTCATAACCAATTCCTCCAACTGATTCCATAACTCTTCATAAAATGGCCGAAGGGGCTCCCATTGAATGTCCTTTGAGAACCCCACTTCTCCAAGGAGAGTTGTCGTCAGATTACGGTGATACACCCTCTACCTGACCACACAAGTTCACTTTAACATCTAGAGGGCCACTACTCAGGACTTTCTAGAGAAGGCCAATTGATGACCTTTTGGCCGACCAAAATTCTGTCGGATTACCAAAAGCTTTCAGCTGACCAAACGACAGGATTACGACGACATCAAATGACCCTTTTAAAGCAATTATGGATGCAAAACCACGTTAATATAAGTTATGAATATGGAAAGGTGTTGGAGTCGGTTACAATTATAAAAATGTCATAATAACTTGTAGCGCAAATGTTAAAACATATAATTTTATACTAAGTACCCTTAAAATCTATAAATATGTGGTCATTTCTATAACAAAAGACTAGATTTTGCTCTATCAAAACTGTGGCATTACTGTGGGCTCTCTGCCTCTCTCTCTCTCTCTCTACATATTTGGACTCAACAGGTCTCTGCATATTTGGATTCAATAGGAGAGGAAATATAGAATTATGTTCAAAGCAAAAGGCCAATATTTATAGAATTACGTTCATGGGTTAGAGAACCCACACCTAGAGTATTTTACTCATAAAATATCTAAATTCTGTATTATAAATTTAAGGCGGTAAAAAATGCTCGTCATTAGTGAATATTTTATGTTTGATTCACTAAGTAGCTCGTCATCAATTTGTTCAAGTAAAAGAGCCGATCACAAATAAATTTTTTTGAGTTCAACTTGTAAATGAGCCCAACACGACAAAAATTTTGTTGATCGTAGTCGGCTTATTTTGGCTCAAATTATTTAATTAATAAAGAAAAAAGCACTTATCTATTTAAATAGGGCTATCTTTTATATGATATCTAAAAATTAGTTTGTATAAATATAGAAAAACACAATTTAGATGTTAGACATATAAATACATAAGACTTGGTGGTATGTATGTAAATGCTCCAAGAGTTTTTACAAATCCCATCTAGTCTAAGTGATTTGTTTATTTTGGTTAGATATGAAAATAAACAAAAAATGGATGATTATTGTTATGTGCATAAACTCCATCCATCCTGCCTACCGCTTTTTGCATTTAATCAACTAATCCAAATTTTCCATTTAATGCCACATGGAGAAGAAAATGTTTATTAGTGTTGTTTAAATATAAAGAGGAAGCAAAATACTTCAAAATGTTATGGCTATGTACTATCAGGGTTGTAACCAAGCGGAGCCGAGTATCGTAATTTGGACTTGATACAATTTTAAGTTGTTCAAATTCGGCTTCAACTTGCGTAGAGCCTTGGTATATTGTTCAAGCGTGACTTATTTAAAATTTTTAATGTTTGAACTTGATTTGTTCGAGTTTTCACAACAAGTATTTGAACAAGCACATAATTCAAATGAATATCTAGATTTTCATATAAAAAATATAAATTTTATAAATAAATGATAGATTAAATCATATAATTTGTATATGAGATAAGCAAATAGACTAACTCACGTGTTATCATCTAGTGTCTATAATAGATATATTCTCACAAAAATGAATTCTAATATAAAGAAACATATTGACATGACCCAAAAAACTTAAATGAACTAATATTACAAAGTAACTTATAATTTGAAATTATTCATCAATTGTTGAAATAATTGATAAAAATAAAAGACTGTCCGATCAAAAATAATAAAAAGAATGAGCTTCGCATCGAGTATCTAACTTGTTGCTTTTTGAACAATAAACGAGTTTGTTCTCAAACACTAATGAACAAGTTCCGTTATGTTCAAATTTGTTTATTGGTTCATTTGAAAGAACATGATCAAACCTTAATATAACATAGTTGTTCATTGAGTGCATTGGTTCAATTACAGTACTACGCACTGCTGAGAAAGCAAGCCTGTTGGTTTTATCCTACCTTTAAAAGGATTTTCAAATGAATAAATAAACTTTCAAAAATTAATAATTTTACTTGCTTTCGTGGATTTTAATAAATTATTAATTCGAGCCGCTTCAAATTTGGCTCATTGACACCCACAATATTTAAATCCATTATACTTGAACATCTAAAAATTCCTTTTAGTGTTTATACCACTTAAATCTTTTATATCATATTAAAAACATCACTTTTTTATACACATTTAAGATCTTTATCAACATAATTTAACTACCATGATCTAAGCTTGTAAATCTTTGAACTCATAAAGCCCAATGACATTTATCCCTCAATAGTGCACACAAGAAAAAACGTAGAATTCCAGAATCAAAATGCTGTACTCCCTAAATAAATTGATATTAAGAAAAATAAAAAAAAAATTTCACTTATATCACATTAATAGAAATATAACTATTATTATATGCCGTATAAACAAGAAAAAACATCAAAATAAAATAAATGCCCAAGAATGCTGAAATACCTACAACCCTCTAAAATCACTCAAAACATCTATCTTCTGATCTTGAGACACTTGATCCAAAGAATCACCAAAGACATAATTCTGTAAACACAAATGAAACCCAACATCATGCCAAGATTAGACCACCTGTGCGCCTCTTCCATTCCTTGCTGTCTCAAGAACATCCCTCCAGTTAGCATACATCCCTTGTCCCCACCCTGCATGCACACCTCCCTTCCCTTCTCTCCGCCAAATTCATTAAGCAACAAAGCTTCGAATGGGTACTTGAACAAACTCAGATAGTGCATAAATAACCAGTACCTGGGTATGCTCTGCCTCGATATAAAGTAGCCAGAGAAGAGGAAGAAAGAGCCCATCAGACCTGCGATCACCGAATTCCCCATTATAAAATCCGGAACCAGCGCGCCGAAACAAGCAACAAAGGCGTTTGCCGTCAACATCACCAGCCAAACAACAAGCAAAAAGAAAAAAAAATGGTCGATTTCCCTCCTCAGACCGATCAGCCAGTACACCGGAGAAGCGTAGAGAATGGCAGCGAGCAGCAGGAAGGGAAGGTAAACCAGAGAATTAGCTATTGCATACGATGACACTCTGTAAGCTCCACGAGAAACCTCCCTCATGAGAATCCTCTTCTCCTGCAGGAACATGGGCAGGCCTTCCACCGAGGAAGACAGAAGGAAAGTCAAGCTGAAGGCAAAAAATCCAACTTTTGCCTGCTGGCTCTCAACATTCATGAATATAGTCCCGAGTCCTAATCCCGCCACCGCCGCCTGAATCATTCTAGCCATAAAAAGCTCCTTGGTTCTGACAATGTTCTTCCCGAATCTTTCCGCGAGAATTACTACCTCGCTAACGCGAGAATTAGCGAAGTAACAGTTATTCTTTTCTCTGTTCTGTCCTAAAGCTGAGAATTGGACTCGGCTGCTCCCCTGCACCTGTGTTTCAATAGTTAACATCTCCGTCGCGTCCATGGCGTACTCCAGGACATTTATATGGGGAGGAATTTTGTGACCCCCATCCTCAAGCCGCTTCTCCAGCAAAGAAAGCGACCCCTGGTGCCGTACAACGCCGTCCGAGATCAGAACCACCCGGTCGAGCAGCTCGAGGATACGAAATCCGGGTTGGTGGATGGTGAGTACAACCGTCTTTCCGTTGCCCGCCGCCATGGACTTGAGCATTGCAACAATGAGGTACGCAGACGCCGAGTCCAGCCCTGATGTGGGCTCGTCGAGCAGGAGCACTGCCGGGTTGTGGACGAGCTCGACGCCAATGGAAACGCGTCGTCGCTCGCCGCCCGAGACACCTCTAATGCCTTTCCCGCCGATCCGCGACCCGGCGACGTGGGCGAGGCCAAGTTGCAGAAGCAGCGCGCGCGCGCGGATGATGGCCTCGCGGGGCGT